AATCCGATATACTGATATATCGACCGATATTAATTTTTTCCCCCCTTCTTTTCGGAAACACATAAAAACTATCCCTAACGTTATATATGTGTAGTTATAAGACCTCATCAATATAAAATGACATAATGTTAGTGTTATAAATAGTACTTTAAAAGATAAAGTTCCTTGGGGCACCACCCTTAAAGGGAGGAAAACTTTTTTTGATTGATAAAAATTTATTTATTACTGAATAAATTTATTTATAAATTTATTCAGTAAATTCACTATAGAAAATACACTATAAAAGAGGTTGGCAGTATTCACGCTGATAAACCAGCATGTATATTCACAAGCATTTATTAAAAATATAGTGAAAGCAAAACAAACAAACAATTTATAATCTAACTAAATGCACTAAGCTAAAGAACAAAAGGGGTGTGTGTGTGTGTGTGTGTGTGTGAGAGAGAGTGAGTGAGAAAGAGAGAGCGTGTGTGTTCAAGGTTGAATCTGTCCAAAGTCAATTTTCATTTTCCCCTTTATAAATTGTTTGATTTATTAGCGGTTATCAAATCACAACAAGCCTAACAAGTTGAATCTTTATAAATAATAAAGTCAATTAAAGCTGCAAGCAGCGTTGGGCAGGCCATCGCAATTGTAGCGCGTCCGCGTGTGAGCCGGCCGAGTTGCATATTCTGGAGCTCTGCCGGTGCGGCTGTGAATTTGTTACGCGGTTATGACGCCGCATGAAGGTGTTATATGTCACTTCCTGTGTCCCCTATGTGGAGCTACATAGCACTTGCCGCTATGAATATAAATCGGTATTGGTGTGTAGATGTCTGCGGGGTGGGACAGTTATCAAGCACGTAAAGTTTGTTTCAGATGTGAGCATGTACACTGAACAATAATGTACCCAAACAATAAAATAAATTCCTTTTATATTTCCCTGCCTTGTTGTTTATGTGTACATACAGAGGAAGAATGTGAGAACAGCACACATTTCATCGTTACCGTGTGTTAGAGCATGGGAGAACAGTGGATACTTTTAATACAGCCCACACCCCTAATACTGTGTAACTATAACAAGTAGAGAACAGAAGAAAAAGATGTTCTTTCTTTAAAACTGTCTGCATAGCTTATTCATATTGTGTAATGAATGAAAATAAATAGGCCTACTAGGCTCCTCTCTACTACTACTGACATTTAAGATTAGCTTGTTTGATCCACCTTCATACACGAGACATTACTGTACAACTTGAGAAAGGTGAGTTGTTTTCTGCTCCGGCCTGCCTAAAAGAAAAGCGTTTTTGGGATTAAATGGACTTTATTAGCTGCTGCAGTGCAGGATGAACTCAGAATAGACCCATTTCTCACCTTATTATTCTAAATCATGCAACGAAGAAGAAATGCATAATAAATCCTGGGACAAAATCTGTCCACAAATACTGTACAGCATGTAGTCTGATGAACAAGACTTGTGTTATAGCTGACTTGGGCAGTGAAATGTTTAATTTTTTTAATTCATGTGGTCATAGTTGTCCACAACTCAAATCAGAATATAAGAAGAAATGTTTTATACCACCTCAAGAAGGCTTCCTATCAGAAAGGTAGGAAGGTATTTCAAATGTACAACTGCAGTACTTAAATCTAGTAATTTCCCTGACATTTTTGTGTTACTTTACTTTTAATAGACGCATGTAACAGGTTTTATACTTCCTGTGAGTATAATCCAATCAATCTTATTTTCATACTGTATATCCGTTGTGTAATTTGATAAATTGTGTTGTATGTCGTGCTCGCATCGTGTACTACTGAGACTTCATTGCCCTCTTCAGAGAAGACTCTGACTGCAACATGCATCTTTGTAAAGAGAGAAACGGACAGAAAAAGTCTCTAACTCTGCCTGTCAGCTCGCTCTGCTCCGTTAAAACTGAATTTACCATACAGAATTGAATACGAGTGCACTCCAGATTTAGCTGCAGCCAGCTGACCGTGTGCTTCTCCCTATACCACAGTTCTGTGTCCATGCATGCAGCAAACTGAAAGTACTGTCTGTCGGAGCGTCTACGTGAAAAGAGAAGGAAGACATTGCTGGTAGTATTGTCTTCAGAGTTGTTAAACACCTCAGCGCACTGAAGGAAGCCATCTGACTGTGTGAGGGGCAAGATCGTTGATGTCTGCAGGCAGAGTAGGCCTAGAGCTCTCCTGTCTGACTGGTCCACCAATAGCAGAGAAGATGACCCCTTGAGACACAGCACCTCCTCATTTGCATAATGAGGCAGAAATGCATACAGAAATTTAAAAAGGACAGGAAGAAATAAAAGAGAAAGAAAATAAATAAGGTAAATAAATACAAAGGAAGAATAAAACAGACAAAATATTAAAACACACACATTAATAAATATATTAAAAAATTAGTAATAAATAAAGTTGAAGATTATAACGGAGAATAAATAAATAAGGTAATTATACAAATATAATATATATATAAGCATATACACTGAAGTTACAACAACTTCCTGTGTCATGGCGAATCATCGACGCCACAGACACGCCCATTGACGAAAACTCGCAAATAGCACAACTTTTCATCAGCACAGCAGAAATTTGACGTCGATCCGACTAAATCCCTAGGAGGAGTTCGTTAAAGTACGAAGTGTGTAAATCATCCAAAAATGGCCGTAAAATTCAAAATGGCCGACTTCCTGTTGACTTTAGGCTATGGGTTCTTGAGGCTTTTTTGTGCGTCTTGATATGATACATGTCCCCAGAAAATTTCGTACATGTAGGTTGAACGTGAACGAGGGGCTAATCTTTTCCAATTTTCTAGGTGGCGCTAGCGAGTCATTTTGCCACGCCCATGTGCGAAACTTATGTCAGAACCGGTGAAAAATTTTGTATTTTATGTTTGCAAATTTTGGTGAGTTTTCAAAAATATATATAATCTTAGCAAATTCAATAGGCATGATTTGAACCTCCCAGCTCAGTGTCAGTCATCCATAACACCAAAAATCAAGAATATATCTGCAAATGTTTCTTTAAGTTCTTGATTAACGCTAGTGCTGCATTGCACTGTGCTGGACAATTAACAACAAAGTAACTGAAACTCATATTACTGACTGTTTGATAAATGTATCTTTTCTTACAGGCTGTCGCCTACAACAAATGATCTAATTCTACAGGCCGTCAGAGTTTGTTGTGCGAGTTCATTCCATAAGTCGGCATTGTTTCATTAGCAGTAAAAGTGCTTTCGAACAGTGAGCATTTGCCGCTTCCATTGTATATCATTTTAGATGTAAACAGCAGCAGCCATGCCGTTGAGATTGGCAGCTGATGATGGTTGACATTTTTCAACTTGAAGAAGGGACAATAAACAATGTAGTTAGCATAACTTGCTCCATTAATTGTCATATTTCTAACCATTTCACGCCACACTTGTTTAGCTTCGTGATGAGGCTATTTGGGTAGCAGCTACCTGCTGTACTGTATTATGTTCTTTCGTATATTTCATTCATTTGTGTTGCGAACTTCACTGCTGTACGTTCCTCCTCACTTGGTGTTGAAGGAGAGAAATTTGCTTTCACAATACACAAACATGGAGGAGAGTAAGGTTAACTCAGAACTGGGTAATACTGAACAGAAGGATACAGACCGTGCAAGCAAAAACAAGGAGCTCATAACTGAGAGAGAAGTCTGTTGTATGGACGAGCCACACAACACTATTACAGCAGTTCCAGCCATGATGTGTGTTCAGGGAATGTTTAATTACTCGCCCATGGACATTTAACTTTCTTTCTAGTTCACCAAGACATGCTGTTGTTGTGATGTTAGCTACAGCAGCAGGAGAGCTGTGAGTATGTACTGCTCTGAAATTCCAACAGTATGATATTTCATTAAATTTACAAAAAATGTTCTATATTGGGATACGTATTGATATTGGGATAATGAAATGACCAATATCGTGATATGTATTGATATCGGGATATGTATTGATATTGGGATATGAAATGACCCATATAAGAGATTTTAGACATATCGCACAGCTCTAGACTATACGATCAGATGTCTATGGGAGCCACCACGGTGGAGCTGCCCTGCTGCTGCCAATTCAAAATACATAGCATCATTATTAGAACCTGAAGTGACATTAACTGTATGTTCAGTCTAACTCAGAGAGACTAAACAACTCAAATGTTGTAGAAATGCAGCTGGGCAAATAGTGGAGTAGTACACCCTAATTGCAAGTGCTCAGTGTGGTGTTTGTGATGAGTATGGGGGAGGGAGAGACCGTGGATCTGAGTTGAGGACAGGGAGGTATGCTGGAATCAGGTTAGCAGTAAACTGTGCTTTTTAGGAACTAAGCAGAGTTCAGAAGTGTTATGACGAGAGTTAACCCTCAAATTAGTTACAACGTCAGTCCCGGTGCTACAGTCTCGATCAAGGTCTGCTATAAAAGCTTTTGTTAAAATATTGTCACTCCATATCCTAAAATATATTGCTGACAGAAAGAAATTACAGCATTACATTGTTTTATTCAAATCTAATACTATAAAGTATTCTGATATTCAATTCAGCATATTTGTTAGATTTTTCTATTTTAGCAAATAATTACAGTTAGTGTTCTTAACTACTAAATATGATATATAAATATCCATGTGTGATAATCCATGATTTTCTGTTTGTTGTTCAGTACAAATAAGCTCTCCACTGGGAGGACAGAGAATCTTGTTCAAAGTGTATTTATTAAGATTTTATAAATTGTTACTGAGGTAAATGTGACAATTAATAATGGTATTGATATTTGTGATATTACCCAGCCATAGTATGACTGTGGTATTTTGTTCTATACTGACCATGTGACTTCCATGTTTGTGAACAATGATCCCTTTCAGGGCGGTGGCCTGTGGCAGTGTAAAGAACATAAGTTCTAGCACTGTTGGTGCGGTTGCCAAAGTAAAATGAAACAAGAAAATAAAGGTCACACTGTACATTGCATTATGCCCACTTATCAGAGGAAGACTCACATGATTTGTAGCCCCAGCCTCGTAAGCTGGTCTTCCTAGACAAGTAGTAGAGGTATCCCAGGGCCAGCATGCAGCACAAGCCCAGGAGGAAGTTGCGACTGGGTTTCATTCTCATCTCCAGCTAGCATACATGGCAAATCCCAGACTGGAGCCTGTTTGAGCAGGAAATAAACTGGTTAGCAGCATGTTAGCACTTAATATAATCCCCCACAGAGGCTGAGTGTCTAAGACTCTGTATCAGCCAGCACAAGTATCAAGTTTACTGTGTTGTACTGAGGAGAAGAATTTTGTGTGATCCATCCTGGGAGGTGGGTGGGGGTCTATTCCTGTGTCATGTCCACATTATACAGGTGCCTCTCATAAAATTAGAATATCGTGGACAAGTAAATTTATTTCCCTAATTTTACAGCCTGCTTTTTAACAGACGTATAAACAATCGGCGTAACGCAACCTGGAAAAAGCTAGTAGTTCAAAATATACTGCCATTGCAATTAGCAGATGATTTGAAAATATCAATTTAGCAGCTCCTCAGTGCCTTACACAACCAAGAAACAGTGACATCAAAAAAAGCTCAACTTCAATAACCGGTCCATATGTTTTTCAATTGTCTATATTCCACTAAAATGTATGTTGGGACTAAATGAGCAAGAAGAGCCGAGAGTATAATCAGAGAAGAAATTAATATAACTGGTTTGGGCCTATGTGGGACATAGCTCTGACAATTTGCCAGTAGGCAACTAACATTTCATCACCATTGTATGGCATTCCATCCATACAACAGAACAAATGTGGTGGGGTCTGACAATTCAGAGCTGGGCAGAGAGGTCAGGCCAGGTTAAATAATATTTCAGCCTAACCCAAGAGTTATACTGAACTTATCCACACTGAGGAGCTGCCCCAATACTTACTCATTTGTGCTTGGTGACCAGTTTGGTTCCAAGTGAGATGTCTGCTAGCAATTTACATGGTGATTTACCGTGAATCTAAACACATATAAGAAAAGTGACAACGAATGGGCAGGAGTGGTGAGTCAGTATATATATATATACTGAACTTAATGTTGGGGTTTCTGCACTGGAAAAAAAATTAAAGATGAATGTATCATTAGAGAATAAGTGAGAAATTTGGACGGTAGCACCAAAATCATTTACAGTAATTAATGTTACTGCAGCTAGCAGCTAGGTCATCATCTATGTATGGCCCCGTCGCCACAGCAGCGATAGCATTTTAGCTAACGTTACAATTGCTACCTTAATAACCACCGCTAGTCCTCAGGCTGGGGCAGCAGATGTAAAATGAGCTGTCAACACCTGGCATAAATGTCAACACATGGCAGAAATGTGACAACAGAAGTATCTGGATAACTGGCCAAATAGAACATAAGAAGTAGCTAAGCTAATAAGATAAGCATGACTAGCTGGCTACGCTAGCAAGCAAGCCATTAACAGACTCTTAACTTACCGGAGGGATAACGTTACCGTTATTTTTCAAGTTGACCTCAAATCCGCCCGGTTCGTCCTGCGGCCGCGTTGGCCACCATACTGTTGATACACATCAGTCAACATTAGCGTTATGTGAAAACACCACAATAATCATGAGTAGCTCTGCAGCTGTATTAGCTTACATGAGGGGGAGACTTGGTGTCCCCCTCCCCTCAGCTCCAGACAGGCTCCATGCAGGGTGCTCAGTGGTGGCATCCGATATGTTCAGCTCTGTACGGAAAGAACGTAACGCCAAACTGTAAATCTGGTGCTTCGCTCATCGGGAGATGTACACGCGTAGTGAAAGTGATTTGCCAAGCACCAACCATTTTCAATTAAATATCAACTTTTTTAATAGTTTCACTTAATTCCTGTTCGCAAAAGTTGGCCTAATAATTATTGGACACAAGATTATTTTTGGTAGACTGCATGTCCAGGTAGGATCAGTAGGCTACTGTTATCGCTTTTTGTCTATGAAAAGTGCTTTTTAAATGCAAAGTATTATTAAATTGTTATGATAATAACTGACCATTTAAGGAGAGGGACTGAGAACAATTTCCATCAATATCCAAAGGCTAGCCATGCAATGGAAACATGGATTACAAGGACAAAATCTGGTCTACAATGCTGCATTCAGTTTAATGTACATTTCGTCGCAAGGAAGATAGGTCTATTGAATTGGGCCGTATTTTAAAACCAGGACACAGAGATGGGCCGGATATTTTCTCACGAGTTGGGATCATTAGGATTTTATTGACACACTTGTATTGGTAATCATTATTGGTTCAGTTCTTTATCAATGCTCTTATCAGTCCTATTTATTACTAAATAATTGAATATATTATTTAAAAAAATAATGAAACATTTTTATTAACTAAATGTTGTTTCTAGAGCAGCAACAGGATTGACAACAGTAAAGTCACTAATATCGCACTGGAAACAAATCTAAAATGTCGGTAAAATAAATCATATTCCTGATATCAACAGTGAAGAATGAATCAACAACCTCCTGTCCTCCTCCCTCTGCTGGTAGAGAGGGGGGGGCTGGTTTGTCTCAGCCACCAGCTGAGTTTATAATGTGCCATATTTTAATGTACTGGCAAATTAAGCTGAACAGTTACTAAAAACAGACAGCTTTCACTTTAGCTTGTTTGTAACAATAAGTTATTAGCCAAACTAACGCTGTGCTTTTGTAAAACCAAAACACAGCTGGTCGATGAGCAGATTATAACATTGCGTTTTGTGTGTTTATGCTCATTAAACAGGTGTGTTGGTAAAGTATTGGCTTTTTTACTCTCTAAGTTTTTATTGCCCCAGGCACTTACACTAACGAGCGTAGTTGTCGTCAATATATCAGTAATGTCCGCTGATCAGCTGGCTGACTTCGATCCGTGTGTGCGTGTGTGTGTGGAGTGGAGGCGGTCTGCAGACACACAGGAGCGGAAGGGCTGCAGATCGGACAGTTATGTTGGCGGTGATCGGTACAGCGCATGTGAAACTCAATAAATGACAAGGAAACGACATAACTCACTTTCAGTTACTTTTATACACAATACATGTAGTTTACGTTTGTTGTCATATATTAGATTAGTTGCTGGCCCAATTTAAGGGGGCTGTTGTAGACTTTTCGTTCAGAGGGGGCCCATAGGGGGTCCAAGGTCTTCTAGATAGCAAAATTTTCAAAAATAAATTGTGCGGCCCACCTCTGGGCCGTACCCTTGCTTCAATATTGGCCAAAACTGGCCCACTCACTGTAAAATGACTATTATTGTGACTTTTGGCCCAGATCTGTCCCACACACTGTAAAATGACTATTATTGTGACCTTTGGCCCAGATTTGACCCACACACATTAAAATGACTATTTTTTATTTATTTGGTCCAGATCTGGCCCGCATACTGTAAAACTGATCTGGCTGAGTGTCAGCTGAGTGTTGATTGGTCCCTGGGCCAAATGTGGCCCATACAAAACACTTCCAAATGTACTTGTGAAATAAACAAAATTCAAAACTGGTTATCCATTTAAAATTTTATTTTATTTCCAGTTAACAAAACTAATGCAGACAACTACAACATAAAAACAGATTTTTAAAGACACTGATTTCAAAGACAGAAACACTATACATTTTCTTTTGAAAGGAGCCTCCTTTTCCTCCCGCCTCTCGGTCAGCAGCCAGCTGAAGCCACCTCTTCATTGTCCCTTCTACCTCTTTCTCAACAGCACCGGAGGTGAAGGGGTTTCTCTGAACAGCAGCTAAAGTGTAAATTAATATATTGTAAGGTCAATATGATGTCTTTAGCATAATTTAAACATGTCATCTGAGAGATACATTATATCCAAAACAATATTCTTACCGATGACAACATCTTTCAACTGAAGGGAGGCCAGAGACATTTTGCCATCGACCCCACTCCAGCTGAGCTGCTTTGCCAAATTGTTGGCAAATAGCCGCCGAAGGACACGCCATGTACAGTCACATACGTCAGTCCCACCAATTAGCCCCAAGTAGTTTACCTGAAACAGAGTAAAGGAGAAAACTGTGTGCAGAAAGCAGCATTACTATGAGCATGCACTCTGAGTACCATGTCAATGAGCCTAGCTCTTTGCTATTGTAGTCAAAGTTTTTGCCATGGGGACCTGCAAATTGCATGTTGTGTTTTAGATTTGTGTACATAAGTTTTGTGAAAATAAGAAAACACCATCAATTTCAGAAGCATGATCAGTAATTGAGTGCAATCAATTTCTTAAAAAAAAAACAGAAAAATGCTCACCATTTTTTAAAATCTGCTGTCTGCTGCAACCTCTGCTATACCAGTAAAATGTTTCAATGGAAATCACTAACCTGGTTATGATGATTGCTGGGGAGTCCAACTGAAGGTCTGAGGTGCTATATGAGAATACAGTGTTAACTTGTTCTATGAAATTCATCACAGTACACACATACACATGTCAGTCAGAATGCAAAAGAATATACTCACATGAAAAATTGTCTCCCGGCTCCCAGCCATGCAGCAACTCTGTGAAGAGCCCGTGAGATGCTGGGGTTGCTGCTGGAGTGGTAGGGGCTGGGGCTAAATTGGGGTTTGGGGTGACTGCAGTAAATGCAGGGAGAGAATTTATGTGGGGGGGCAGGAGGAAGGGATTTCTTATGTGGAGGGGAACAGTCCTCCTCTGCTGAAGATAGTTCCAGACCAGATGGGCCAAGCCGAACACTCTTCCTATTTGAATGAATAAACACACAATCAATCAAAATTAAATGAAAATAATATTTAATAAGAAACTGGTCTTTAAAGATAACTTAAAAGGGGAAAGGCAAATTATTCTCTAATAATGAGCAAATTGACATACGTTTTACACCTTAGTGGCCTTTTACACAACACTTCTGACAGAGTTTCTGACTCCTTTGCCTTCTTTCTTCCTTCTTCATAACAGACTGTAAAACACAGATGCAATGCACGTTATTCAGTCTCCTTAGGATCACTCTGCAATACAATAAATTTGAATATAATTGAGTACTTTGTGGTATTCGTCAGCCTCTGCTACATAAAAAGAATATTATGCTGTATCTTAGCCAATGGTCATATACAATAATAAATTATAATTAAAGCTGCAAGCAGCGTTGGGCGGGCCCTGCACTTGTAGCGCGTCCGCGCGTGAGCCGGCCGAGTTGCATATTCTGGAGCTCTGCCGGTGCGGCTGTGAATTTGCTACGCGGTTCCGCATGAAGGTGCTATATGTCACTTCCTGTGTCCCCTATGTGGAGCTACATAGCACTTGCCGCTATGAATATAAATCGGTATTGACGTGTAGATGTCTGCGGGGTGGGAGAGTTATCAAGCACGTAAAGTTTGTTTCAGATGTGAGCATGTACACTGAACAATAATGTACCCAAACAATAAAATAAATTCCTTTTATATTTCCCTGCCTTGTTGTTTATGTGTACATACAGAGGAAGAATGTGAGAACAGCACACATTTCATCGTTACTGTGTGTTAGAGCATGGGAGAACAGTGGATACTTTTAATACAGCCCACACCCCTAATACTGTGTAACTATAACAAGTAGAGAACAGAAGAAAAAGATGTTCTTTCTTTACAACTGTCTGCATAGCTTATTCATATTGTGTAATGAATGAAAATAAATAGGCCTACTAGGCTCCTCTCTACTTTGACATTTAAGATTAGCTGTTTGATCCACCTTCATACACATGTGACATTACTGTACAACTTGAGAAAGGTGAGTTGTTTTCTGCTCCAGCCTGCCTAAAAGAAAAGCGTTTTTGGGATTAAATGGACTTTATTAGCTGCTGCAGTGCAGGATGAACTCAGAATAGACCCATTTCTCACCTTATTATTCTAAATCATGCAACGAAGAAGAAGAAATGCATAATAAATCCTGGGACAAAATCTGTCCACAAATACTGTACAGCATGTAGTCTAATGAACAAGACTTGTGTTATAGCTGACTTGGGCAGTGAAATGTTTTTTTAATTCATGTGGTCATAGTTGTCCACAACTCAAATCAGAATATAAGAAGAAATGTTTTATACCACCTCAAGAAGGCTTCCTATCAGAAAGGTAGGAAGGTATTTCAAATGTACAACTGCAGTACTTAAATCTAAGTAAAGTAATTTCCCTGACATTTTTGTGTTACTTTACTTTTAATAGTAACAGGTTTTATACTTCCTGTGAGTATAATCCAATCAATCTTATTTTCATACTGTATATCCGTTGTGTAATTTGATAAATTGTGTTGTATGTGGTGCTCGCATCTCAGAGAAGACTCTGACTGCAACATGCGTCTTTGTAAAGAGAGAAACGGACAGAAAAAGTCTCTAACTCTGCCTGTCAGCTCGCTCTGCTCCGTTAAAACTGAATTTACCATACAGAATTGAATACGAGTGCACTCCAGATTTAGCTGCAGCCAGCTGACCGTGTGCTTCTCCCTATACCGCAGTTCTGTGTCCATGCATGCAGCAAACTGAAAGCACTGTCTGTCGGAGCGTCTACGTGAAAAGAGAAGGAAGACATTGCTGGTAGTATTGTCTTCAGAGTTGTTAAACACCTCAGCGCACTGAAGGAAGCCATCTGACTGTGTGAGGGGCAAGATCGTTGATGTCTGCAGGCAGAGTAGGAGCTCTCCTGTCTGACTGGTCCACCAATAGCAGAGAAGATGACCCCTTGAGACACAGCCCCTCCTCATTTGCATAATGAGGCAGAAATGCATACAAAAATTTA